CAGTTGACTTCTGACTCCAAACAACCATCATCACCCCACTGTATGCCATATTTGACCACTTCCACGATTCTCACCTCACCTTTTCTCGGCCTTTGTGTCTGCTTGTCTCTTTTACATCTGCGGATCACTCTTCTGTTCCCGCTCTCGACTTTTTTGACACTTTGATGTTCCTCCCCTTCCCCCTTTGAAGCCCGAAGTCAGCTAGAGGGCTAGTGACAACTATCAGAACGCTTGCCATTTGAAATAAATAAATGTGTAGCAAAATTTGCAAATATTTAGTAGTTCACAACAATATTGTTGCCACTCATCACCATAAACTTCGACACACGCACGCACACACACACACGCGCACAATTCATCTCGTCAAACACACATCGCTTACCTTGACCTCGCTCTGCTTGCTTTCATAAATTTATCCTCCCTTGCTCTCTCTCCAATGCAACTAGGATAGATACTAACTATTCTTATGGGGAATGCGTAGGACCCGGCTTCGAAGTTTCTTAGTTTCCTACCTCCCCCTCCCTCTACTCTATGCATTGCATTCCTTTTTTTCACTGCCGTGCATGCTTCCCCCAAGTGGCATCTAGTTTCAATTTGTTCAATTGTTGTTGAGTCTACCAGTACACTTGGAGGTACTTGATTTATTCTCTTAAAAATATCCACTCCCAATGTTTTGCATTCACTATCTTCGGTTTTATCCGGCGACTTCAACGTTTTATGCATTTTTGCGAGGTGTGTGAGTTCGAATTCGCTCTTTGAGTTCTGCCTTTTTTGTCATTTTTAAATAGCTTTAAAATATCTGCTGTTTCACTAATGCTAAGATCAGAATTTGAACTCTTAATTGTTTTAAAAGTGATGGGAAGCTGTTCACTTTGCTTTATGGGAGCATGTTGCAAACGCGCCCTCCTTTGTCTTCTATGATCTCTTGAAGGTGGATTTTATTCTAGTAGCTTTCTTTGGAGATTTGAAATAGGCAGTCTACGTGGGATTCCGTTTGGAAGGGGTCTAAAGCCCTTTAGAGAAACAAAGCTAGTTGGATGTGTGTCTCACAATTCTTGCTGCCTGAATTACAGTCAACTTCATTCAGATTGATTTAAAATTAGCATGTTTTTTTTGTAGTCTCCAGGCCTCCGTGGAATGCTCCAACTTGAAAGCATGATAGCAACTATGGTGATTCGAATTTGGCTTCGAGCTTTGACTCAACACTATCCCTCGAATCCATACTGGGAGGGTCTCCAAGAGCTTTGTCGAGTCTCTCGTCACCGTATCGGTCCCAACTACATTTGGTCTCGAGTGATGGTCGTCTTCACCTTCAATCTTCTTCGGCCTCATATCAGTCAAGATCTCTCCTCCCCTCCTTCCATTCATCTTGCCAACATGGATAAAGTTGCTGCCTTAGTCGATGCACCTCCTTTTACTGGTAGACTGAATTTTTACCTTGCTATGCATTTCGACCAATTGTAATTACCTGTTCGCTCATTTCTAGCCTTTCAGCCTCTCATGGGGCGTCAGCTTACATCAAACCTGCCGCCGAAAGTTCTTGAGCTTTCTTGGTTCCGGCTGCTCAATATCTTCGAAAATCCAGTTGACCTCTGCCACCCCTCTGAGATTACTCATACGGCTGTCTTTGAGTACTTCAGGTAGGGTTCTGCAGCTAAAATTGTCAAGTCGATCTTGAATGCTTCTCTTGATAAGAGTGTATTACTCCTGTTTGCCTTATCTTTCGCCCCAACCAACTCTTTGTTAATTGGTACTTGCACTAAGACATTTTTATAGCGAACAATTTACTCGTCGAAGTTGTAAATATGGTCAGAGGATTTTATTAATTTTCACTGATCCCTCATGGAACTTCCATTTCTAAAGACGAGTGTTGGGAAATATTTTTCCTAACTTGTTTAGAACTATGTACACATATTCAGAAGTCTGCCAGCCAGTGACGCATCTTTTTATATTGTGTCAATTATACAACCATTCAGGAGGACAAAGAGGTCGAACTTGATCCACAGGAAAGAAGTCAATTAAACTCCAGTTGTCTCATCTCCGAGGATGCTAATCATGTGGTCCGATACTGAGAGCCAGGTTATCGGAGTTTCATTTGATATTTCATAAATAGTTCAGTGCTAGAAATGCACTTCTGATAAGTCAGAGATCATGTGGTCGATGCCTATTGGCGCATGGAAGGCCCATCCGCGTTTGAATTGCTCCCTCTCTTTATCTTGAGATTATTTTTGTTTGAAATACTTTTCTTCTACGTTTTTTTCTTTACAAAACCGTCTCATCTTCATTTTAGACAATTGAATTTAGCCTCAAGATATCGATTAACAGCAGTCTTCCTTCCGGCAATCTTCTTCCATATGATGAGAAGCTTTTCCACAGTGGTAGATATCTTCTTGGGAATATCACCGTCTTTGGCTGGAAGTCTTTCCACCTTCATTGGAGTTCCGCAAGATCTTTTTGGCCCTCTAACAGATGTTGCAGAGTACTTCCAGTACACTTCCGTCAGATCTCCAGATACTGTTATATGGGGTACGAGTGCGGTCTTACCTCTTCCCCTATCGTTATCTTTTAGTTGCATTAGGAGATATGAAATCCACATCGTGCTTATTTATCGAAATTTGAAAAAAAACAGCTTCGGTTTATATCTTTTGAAAGCCAACAATCATTTATAGCAGATGGCAGGGTTTATGTTGTTTACCATTTGTCCTTTTGTTAATTTCGGGCTGCACAGAGGGGGGAGGAGGAGTATCAAAGTCACAAAATGTAGAGGCATTGGGAGGGAGTGATTCACAGGTGTTAAAGAGACATACACAATGGTAGAGAAAAGGGTGAGTACTGTGGAAGTGGGTGGGTGGGTGGGGGGGGGGGGGGGGGNGGGGGGGGGGGGGGGGGGTTGGAATGATTTACTCTCGGGTCATAGTCATTTGAAGTTAAATGCCGATTTCTAGACTGCTCAGCATGCACCATGTGGAGGTATAACTATCGTGCACCCTTTGATAGCAAGCTTACAATCATTTTGGTGTCTATTCGCGATTCCGGACACCTATTTTTGCATGATAGTTGCATGTTAAGATGTATTTGTTAGTTTAAAGATAAATTTAGATTGAGAATGCTTGAATATATGGTCGTTATGCTATGTTATGTTTTAAGCTTGCCATTTGATCTCATTGATCCAATATATTGATGGATCGTCTAGTGGTTTAATGTCTCACCTATCCACGAGAGCGTTACTAGCGATAGCTGTCATTGTACTCTCCTCGTCTACTCAAATCAAGGTAACTGGGCATACGTTTTCATTTCTCTGCTCATGTGCAGTTGATCATTTATGAACTTATTGCATAAATCATTAAATGATAACCTTGGGCACATCCTTAGTAATTGGGTTTCTTTCCTCAACTGAAAATACTTAATTTTTCAAGGGAGTTCAAACAGTGAATATTGAATCATCGTGTTGCTGCCTCTGGCTTCATTCTGGATCTCATCCCCCCTCCCCCAAATCCCCCTGTATTATGAGTCCATCTTCTATCAAAATCTAACCCGCCTAACTTCTTTCTCCCAGCTGTTGACTTACAAAAATCAGTTATGAGGAATGGAAGACACACGTTTTTCAAACCTACTAAAAAGGTACTCACAGGACATCTAGCACTTCGCAAGTTCTCAGGTATTGATATATACTAATTTGGGTGCGATCTCTCCCAGTGTTTTGGAGTAGCACTTTCTGTTTTTGGTGAAGCACTTGCTTTTCTTCGGACACGCCTCCTCTCTTTGTTCAGATTGGCTTTCTAATAGCTAGTTAATATAAGCCCGCCTTCTCTAACATTCACTCGGTGTGAAAATTACATTCCCTTGCTCATTCTACAGCCCCCCTCTCCCCACTCCATTCCCCATAAAGTCACGCAAATCATTATTTACCCCCCTCCCCCCTATTTCTTCCTTTGTGTTATTAATGAAACTACTACTTTAGCTTATTCTAATTGGGGTTTCTATTCGTAATTTATTATTTTACTATTACGGGACTATTTTTTTGTTAAACCTCAACTTATTTTGTACTTTAGCTAAAATTCTACCAACTGTAACATGGTCGATTTTTAATCATTTGATTTGGTTTCAATATAATATTATTACGTTACTAATGATATGACCTTCCTGACTTTCGTGATAGTAAACTGCCCTATTGGGGTTTGAATTACTCTTCTTTTCATAAACATTATTGGTCCTATTCCACAGAAAAGCCTCGTGGAAGCATTGACAACAATACTTCTACCTCAGATCTTCCAGTAAGGGCTGATTCTGCACCTATGGCTTCAACTGTCAGCGTTACTTCCTTGGCTAATCTTGTGCGCAATGCAGGTCTGTCATCCAATGTCGATCCTCAATCCCTGGCCGAAGCCTGGCTTCGACCTGATTTACTAGTGACTTGCTTCTACAACAGACCAAAGGCATCATCTTTCATCCAACTTCTGGGATCCTGGCTATTTGAAGCGGCTTCTGGGAAGAGTACAGTGTCGAATGCCTCAGGAAAAAAGGGTATTTTTCCCCACGGTTTAAAAGAAATACTGCTTATTGGCTTTCAGTAGCATCGTATTTACAGACTTTTTCAACCCAGGTGCGATTGTGTCTGAGCGTGCACTGAAAGTGGACAATATTAGTTTTCATGTTGGACGTGCAGAAGCGATGGCCTGTCTATGTCGAATCTTCATCTACGCTAGAAAAACCCAACTGACCTTCAGTGGACTTGCTCGTTTCTATGTGTGCCTTGTCAATGCCCTCACCGTCGATGCTGTAAGCAATAATTGGAATATCTTTATCAACTCCACATTACTTTATCAGGTTCTAAGTATTTCTGCATTTCAGCGAATTCATAATTAGTAATATTCGCTCTGCTCTAACTTGCTTAAATTTTCCTCTATTCATTTGTTTATTTCTGATATTTTGCACACGTAGACTACTTGTTACATCGTCAGTTTTATTACTGTTACCCCCCAGTCATAAAACTTCCCATGAAAAAGCCAAACTATTTTAATAATGAGTAGATTGCTATTCGGAACTTATTTTTAAGTGGTTCATGTAGGTTTTTATTTTCTTGGCTGCTTAAAAGTACCAAAAAACTTAAAGATTCAGTCTTTAAATTTCTTTTTTTGTCTTTTTGCATCGAGTTGAAAAGCTTCCTATCGGAAATAGCTTCCATTTGGGTAGATTAACCAGGAAATTCAATAGTTAATGATTAGTTTCGCATTTTATTGGGTTTGGAAACGTCTGTTTGTATTTAGTTACTTCTATCACTTCATTCGTATTAAGTTAATATTAATTTGTTTTGTTTTTTTTCTAATTCCTAACTTCTCAAAATTGTTAACTTTATGATTTTTTTTCCCTCAATTCAATCTCTGGAGTGTACTATTCTTTCCTCAATTGTGGATGATTAACGTGTTTTATAAAATCCCTTAAGCTATTCTTGATCTGTTTTCTCAAAAGTAGTGATTCGTAAGTTGTGTAAATAGTGAAATCTAATCAGGTGTTCTTGAGCTCCATTAGGATATGTGTAAAGCCCACTTATATCAGAGCGCATATGCCTGGTCAAGCACAATTTAAGAAGAGCCTAATAGGAAGTGGGTATTTGAGCCTGTGTGCATTCCTTGCTTCTGTTTTTTGTGTTAATCACCATGACAACTAAGCAACCAATCATCTCTCTGCTAGGTCCGTTCAAATGCGCGCACTATTTATTTCCCCCTGCGCTGTTAGCAATGCGTTCTTACTCTTCTTGTTGCTATATGACATAAAAGCCCACTACTGTATAGTCAATTAAACATCTCTAGACCTATTGGTCGAAGCTTTTTGACTACTCTGCATTTTTTTTGTTCTAATCAAATTACAATTTACCCCCCCCCCCCCCCCCCTCCCTTCTCTGGCAGGAAGTTGAATACGTTTTGTCAACTGTTCTCTTCCATTCTCCGGATCTGTTGCGAGCTGATCTTCCTGGGTCTTTCTCGCTGCTTGCCGTGCCTTTATTCAACGCTGCTCTGTGGATTCTCAAGAAGCCCTCTATTGTGTAAGTTCTCCTTAGCCTCTGCTAACTTCCTACTACGGGTTTACTTTTCTTTTGTCTCAATGATGAGTAGTTGGGGTAATTGGTGTAGTATTTTTGTTGTTTTTTTTTCCCGCGTCTTTGAATCCCACAGGTTCACAGTATGGGGATATTCCCTTTCATTAAAGAAGCATTCCTTTTAAATTAACAATTTCTACGTCCGCATATTTCCTAATTCACTGAATCATTTATTTATTTATTTATGTCAAATGGCAGGCGTTTTGATAGTTATCATTTGCCCTTTAAGGCTTCACGTTTGGATAGTTATCATTAAATAGTTATCATTAGCCCTTTAGTTGACTTCAGGCTTCACAATAGTTATCATAAGCCGTTTAGCTGACTTCAGGCTTCACAGAATGGTTATCATTTGCCCTTTAGTTGACTTCAGGCTTCACAGAGAGGAAGAGGAACATCAAAGTGAAAAAAGTCGAGAGGGAGAGAGGGGAACAGAAGAGTGTTTCAAAGACGAAGGTTGAAAATCTAGAAAAAAAATGTGATATAGTACTGTGGAAGTGGTCGCATATGTCATACAGTGGGGTGATGGTAGCTTGAAGTCAACTGCCGGTTAATAGACTTTTTTGTCGTATGAGTATACCTTGCCCAGAGTGCACCACGTGGAGGTAAGTCTATCGCACACCCCTTCACTGAATCATTGCGTATTTGAAACACGTGACTTAGATGCTTAACTGATTGTTTAAATATTTAACGTTTTTATGTGTTACATTAGGATTTGCCTTAAAATCCAATCAGTTTTAAACATTCCACCTGTTCTTATTTTGTCTCTATGAGTCCAAAAGAGTCATAAAGTGTTCCTTTTAATTTAATTCTTCCAATGAGGTCAGAGAACCCTTCTATACTCTATTCCACCGTGTTCCAGGGTGTACCATTTGATCACTAGATTCCTTAATAAGTTCCTACTCGCACGTTGAATAACTGATTCAATTGCTTGGATGTTTGTCCTAACTTTATAAATTTACCGTTTCTATTATCGATAATGCATGCGCAGCCTATAAATAAATCACCAGCTTTAAATTATTGTTTTTTCAGAATTTTTGAATATCATTAACTTTACATCTATTCATTCCTACCTCTTTTACTGATAACGGTGTTGGATAACTTTTACAATGCAATCTGTTCGTAGGAGAGTATGGCAAAAATAATTGAAGGGAATTATCTATTGAGATGAATCTTTCCCATAACTGTCCATCTTTATTGATTTCATTTTCTACCTTTTTTGCAATTGGAGTCGAGAAAAAGTGAATCAGAAGTAAAACAGATTGAAACTCAGTGCGTGGAAGGTGGAAAACTATTCGTAATTGATAAATCGAGTTTACTAAATCCTCAATTTGTACTAATTGATTCAACTAAATCTTTTCCGATTGCATATTCATTCTTTCGATCATTTCGATTGCATTTAATTACCTTTATATAATGTGGAAAGAAGTTGCTTTATTGGGACCTATTTCAGTGTAAATGCATCTATTACGTTTTGTTTAGATGTCCAGAATACGTTTCCATGGTGTTACTTCGAAGGGCTAGTCTACACCAACTTCTCTCCATGACATGTCTTCCCAATCATCTCAAAGGGGTTCAGTTCCAAGGTGAGTTTTTGCATCTCATTGTAACAATTTATTTCCAAAATTATTTCCTGTTTGTCATGATGTTCATGATTGTTAAGAGATGTGAGTTGCGCAATTTGCCATCTTCTTCTAATTCTACTAGCTTCGCCGCTTCGGGAAAACAATTTTCAGCAATCATCCTGTTTCTAGGGCCGTATTGTGTACGTTCTGGTCAAAAAGAAGCTCAAATTCTGCCGCTTCCTATCGTGATGCCTAATCAGTTCATCTCAATGGGGGAACTTATTTTCAACTTTCAATATGTCCTTTATTAAAGTCAAGTTAAAATTAATTGTATTGAGGTAATTAAGGAAACAAATTCATCCCAACTTAAAGGAAATACGTAGTTTAGTATGCCATTGGTATCATTCTCTTAATTGATCCCTCTCTTTACATCATTGAAAAGGTGTGGACTAACGGCTGAGACGGGTTCATTATTGTCTTCCTTTATTGTTGCCATGAGAGCTGAGCAAGTCTCCGAGGGGATAATAGAAAATTTTTATAGGAATGAATGAATAGAGACAACTTTTTTTCGAAATAACTTCCCCATATACGTAGTGCCTGTTTTATGCCTCTCAATCTACGTATTTGTAGCTAATTATGTTTATAGTCGGTAAATTATGTAGGCATACTAATTTAATAATTTTTTTCGGGCTTAAAGTTATTATAGGAGGTGGACTATTCAGGCACATTTCCTTTGGTCCTTTGGGGGGCTATAATTGCTGAAACATGCTGGAAGTTTTCTATTTCAGTTGCTAACTCCAAAATTCTAGCCCTAGTTAACTGGGAGTTCATCGACTAAAAGGGAGTGGAAATGAGATTATTATTTTATGTCTTTTTAGGGTTTGTAGTTGTGTTGATGAACGACTTTATGAGTGTGTGTAGTTAAGTGTCGAATTTGTGAACTTGAACATTAACCTGTGTCAGGACTCGCAAAGTTAATACCCATCGATACGCACACTTCGTTGATGAAATCTTTTTCAAAATTTGGAGTGGAGGGGTGGGGTGGGGGGGGTGTAATTTAGCACGAGTTTCAAAAAATGTTTCCCCGATTGTGTTTTGCGTTCGCTGATATGTTACGGATATATTCCATTAATTAAAATTTAAGAGGTGTCAGATGCTAATGTTTTTAATCCAAAAATTTCTCTTCACCATCGTATCTCCCCTTTGTCATGATTTGTTCTAGATCTTTCCAGTCCTGGATCGGTCGAGTTAGCAAGTCTCTCAACCCGTGACCTTCGAACTAAGCTGGCAGGACTTCTCTGTGATTTTCTGGGCTATGAAACGGACACGCATAATCTTCGAATGCTTCTCAGTACGTTCGTGCAATTACCTCCCCTATTATTGTTGAGCACACTAATTCCAAGTTGAGTTTGAAAAAAATGTTAGATTTCTTATTTCTAATGGAAAGAGTCCCTTGTTTTAAAGCCATAGCTCATCATGCTGGTGTGGGCAATTTGAAAATATTTTTTTTTGTCACGCATTGCTTAGAAACTTTGATATTTCCCTCTATTGGCTAATAGTGTAGTAAAAACTGTTGGAAAATAAATAATTAATTTTAATGAAATCGAACAAGGACTTTTGTCATTTAAATAAAAGAAGTGTGTCTTCTACCTTCTACTCAGCCTTTAAGCAATCTGTGAAGGTGTTTTGCCAAGCAATCGTGTCCGGTACGTAGTCTAAACTCAGCACAACTTCGATTCATGGCCAGTCGGCTATGATTCTCATGAACGTTGTGCAGATTTGACAACCAGACAAAGATCCTACCCATTTTCTGCAGTTTTGTTAAGATGTGAGCATTCCCGCACTACTATGGGGCCTAGAACTATTTCATTGGTTTCGATTTTTTTATTTTTTTTTCATTTCCTCGCTCAACGATTTCCCAAATTAAGCTTCATTTGGACTGTACACTCTCAAATATGATTATCAAATATGCCTCTGTATCTAGCTTTCATTCGTCCTCGCTAATATAATTGTGAGCAGTGCATCTCATAACTTTGAAGAGAAAAATAACTACTTTTGTTTGGGTCATTAACGTATGAGTCAGAAAATATGGAGTTTATGGCCGAATTGATGACCAAGCATTGATATGAATGACATAAACCACTAGTTACCTGTCAACAAGGAGGCAACCCTTATCAAAACAATGGTCACAGGATGCCTTTCTACAAACAATTTATGTCTCAATGGCACTTTACTTGACGGGTTTGCGAATTTTATCGATTTTCCTTTCAGACATCACCTTACAACCCAACTGCCACGGTTACTAATTTTTTGACGTTTCTCATTTAGTTTGGCAGTTTTAATTGCAATCCATGATAGAGGAAAAATCGATAATACCGCAGAGAGACTTGGACCAGTTTCTCTTTCTCTTGAATCATAACCATGGAAGGTAAAATATATTTTTAGTATTATTTCTAATGGCAGGCTTTGTGATATTTATCATTAGCCCTTAAACTTTGACTTCAGCTTCCCCCAAGGGTGGGGGTACATTCATAGCAGTTCATTAATGGCAGTT